ACTATGTGATTTTAGTGAATGTCACTTTTAAAATTTACAAATTTCCCGCCGTTCCGTCCCCCGTACGTCCCGACATCGCAGGGAATGGAACCCGGAAGACAGATGCCGGCATTGGCCGGAGGACATTGCCGGGGACACTGCAGGAGGGACATTGTGGGAGCGAAGGACAAGGTAAGTGATGAAGAGATCCTGGAGCAGCGCTGCAAGGTATTCCCGAGTGTAGTTCGGGGTTACCCCTTCTGGTGCTGAAACTTTACCCCGAGCTACACTCGTGAATACCGCCAGGGAGGTTAAGACACTGATATTCACATTCATTAGATATGCTATCAGGTATGATTTCAATTTGCAAATCGCACCTGAAATCACACAGGTGTGACCAGACACTAATGCCCCGTACACACGATAAGCAAATTGTTCTAAATATTTTGCTGATGAACCACTGATCAAACGATTTTCTCTTCGTTGATGAGCTGGAATGTTTTAGTGATATTGCAAATAAAAAAATCCGGTTGAACAATGTTGTCGTTTTGCATACAAACGACTGATTTTCTATGCGTTGGTATGACAGTCGTACGAAAAAATATATCAAGCGCTATCACGCATGAGTGTAAACAGAAGATGACTCGGATGTTTATGTCCAAGGAATCTTCGTAAACACGGACGAAAAATCCAAATGGTAAAAGTAGATTGTCCTAATGAGATAATGAAACCAGAATTCTGCAGATTATGTTTTATGTATCTCTATTTATGTATATAGGTCATGTAATAAACGATATTATACTCCTTGCTGGTAATTGTTGTGTATATCGCTCATTCTGGCCTGAGGCTACAAGGTCACACGCACACTGCATCACTTCCACTTGTACGGAAGACGTCAACACTACATATTGCCCAACAAACGTTTTTTTTTTAGATTGGTTAATGTGGGCCACGATTTCCACCAACGAATAAACGGCTCTCAGTCGTCGGATGACCGATCGGTCGATTTTCTAATCGTGTATTCCCACTTTAAGTGTATAGGGTTGCTTAAAAGTCTTTTTTGCATTCCCTCTTTCGATCTGCCTTAGTATATTTCTCTTTCTGTCTTGGACACTGGCCAGAATCTCAGCTCTGTCTATGAAAAGCAAAACACCTAAGTAGACTCCGTCTCAGATATCGTGGCACTAATGAGTGATTGTCCTTTTCTCTGGTAATTGGCTCACCGTATTCCATTCTATGAGCCAGGTGGCATGATAAATTCATGTGCTAAAACACTTACAAGCGTTGCAAGAGACCAAACTGATTTCTCCCCTTTGATGATGACATGTCTGCCACCATACACTCAACACTATAGGCTGAATTCACAAGGCTTTCACACAAGGATAAGTGTCTAAGAGGAAGCCCGTCCAATCATATTCTTCCTTTGATTTATCATTCTGCACAGGAAAAGCTGTGATCTAAGGCTGGCCAAACATTCCGTTTTTTGATCAGCCAGCTAGCTGATCAAAAATAAAAAAAACAACCAGTTTCTCCCATCCATGTGCTATTGTATTCTGATAATGGGACTCCACCACTGCCAGAGTACATGGATCAGCGCTGCAGCCTATTGGCTCTATGCGCTGATAGAATACAAATTTTCCAACATTCCTGTACGAGAGGACTTGATCACTAGGGTGACTCTTCTTGAGCAGGAACAGTCATAGATGGCTGTAGCAGCTGAATTTTGATCCATCTATGGCTAGCTTAAAGTGTTACTAAACCAAGGACCCTGCATTCACTGTATCTGGTCTCCCAGGACCCTGCATTCACTGTATCTGGTCTCCCAGGACCCTGCATTCACTGTATCTGGTCTCCCAGGACCCTGCATTCACTGTATCTGGTCTCCCAGGACCCTGCATTCACTGTATCTGGTCTCCCACACTACACACAACATGGAAAGGCAATACTTTTAGTAATTTTAGTAAATATAAACTGCTAAATACCTTTTCTCAGTTAGAGCAGTCTTGTGGCTTATATCAGTGTCCAGCAGAGCACATGTTAAAGCTTGTAGGATTTTCATTCTCCCCAATTGTCCTATGAGGCTGCATGACCCCTGACCCTCTGTCTTGACAGTGCTGATTGACTCTGTGCTGATCACATGCACTCTCCCAAGAAAAAAAAAACCTCTAGCAATCAACACCAAACTGAGCATGTGCAGCTTGCTCCCAAAGCTCTGTACTATCAGGAGATGGATTGGGGACAGTAGAAGAAGGGGAGGATCAGAGACGACAGGATCAAACAGCCTTTTTACCCAATGCAGAGGATTAACCTCTTAGGTTCCACAGTGAGTATAACAAGCGTGCTTTACTGCATATACAGACTGATTTTACTGCTGTGGGTTTAATAACACTTTAAGTGGCTGTCAGGAAGTTGCCATTCATGGGGTAATTTTTAGGGCCCATTCACACTAGAACACAATGTGGGAGACCCACTTTCTATGTTGGTTTCCCACAACACATTCCAATCGCACTGCCTTTGTGATCTGCAGCAGGTGTCAGTGCAAATATATGCAGGTCACAAACGCAGCACATTTGCTTGCACCGGATTGCATGGTACAAAAGGACCACGTGATCCTGTTGCAATGCATGCACTACTTTTGGTGCGGTGAGATTGTAGCCCATTCAAAATGAATGGGCTGAAATCGCACAGCACAGAATTGTATGTTCTCTGTGCGGTTCCTGTGCCATTCACATGCAGTTCCTAGTGTGAGCGGGCCCTTAGCCAAACGCAGTTATGAACTGAAACTCATTTACAATATGGTTATTTATTGTTCGCAGAGAAAATGTGTAGCATTGATGGAAAATCTTCAAGCACACTGAGAAACATCTCATGTTTAGTGATATCAATGAAAAACATGAAAGTGTTACTAAACCCACAACAGTAAAATCAGTCTGTAGATGCAGTAAACCGTGCTTGTTATACTCACTGTGGAACCTAAGGGGTTAATCCTCTGCATTGTGTAAAAAGGCTGTTTGATCGTATCTTCTCTGATCCTTCCCTTCTCCTAGTATCCCCCTCTTATCTTCTGATATGAAATAGTGTGGAATCACTCTGCACATGCTCAGTTTGGTGTGTACTGCAAGAGAGGTTTTTTTTTCTTGGGAGAGTGCATGTGATCAGCACATGGCCAATCAGCGGTCAGAGGTTCTGCATCCTCCTAGAGCAGAATGAAAACTCCTCCTACAAGCTTCAACCAGTGCTTGGCTGGACACTAATAGAAGTCACAAGACTGCTCTAACTGTTGATGAGAAAAGTTTATATTTACTACAAAAATTGCCTTTCCATGTTCTGTGTACTATGGGAGACCTGATATAGTGAATGCAGGGTCCTGGGTTTTTAGTAACACTTTAATCACTTCCAGTCCGGACACTTTCACCCCCTTCCTGTCCAGGCCAGTTTTCAGCTTTCAGCGCTATCACACTTTGAATGACAATTGTGCGGTCATGCAACACTGTACCCATATGAATTTTTTAGCATTTTTTTTTAGACAGGTAACACTTTTTTTGGTGGTATTTATTCACCACTGGGATTTTAATTTTTTTTCTATATAAATGAAAAAGTCCAAACATTTTGAAAAAAAAAGTGTTTTTTCTTATAAAATTGTGCAAATAAATAATCTGTATTCATAAATCTTGGCCTAAATGTATTCAGCTATCTTTTTAGTAAAAAAAAATAACCCAAATTAGTTTGTAACCAAAAATTAAAATTTTTCTGAATTTTGTTTTACATTTTTATTTTTTTTTTTTATATTATTATTTATGTTTTGTTTTTTGTTTTTTTTTTTACATACTGTCACCCTAGCAGTACAGTGTTACCATAGTGTACTACTTGTGGGGGGGTGATGAAGATTTGTTTTTCTTTTTTTACGCTGATTGCTTTTATACCCATAAAGGCTGTAAAAGCAATCATTTCTCCTTCTCTCTGGCTGCATTCTTGGCAACCATTGAGAAATACTGTGAGAGCTGTGATTGGTCACAGCTTGTCACATGGTACAAGGCTGTTATAATAGCCTTGTACCATGTGACCTCTGTGATCATTCACAGATTTCACAAGTAGTAAGCAATGATGTCAGAAGTGACATCTTGCTTACTACTGTTCATATCATCACTGATTGGCCAATCAGGGATCACATGAATCTGGACCTCACAGAGAGGCCCTGTACAGAGACCGGTGTTCCGCGGCACTGGATCGTGGTGCCGCGCGCTCCCAGGGAGCACTGAATGTGGGGGCCGTTTATAAATGGCCACCCGCTTCGGCAGTGCTCCCGTCCGGCTGTTTATGTACATGGGCTGGGCGGGAAGTGGTTAAGTTTGAAATCAGGAATACACTGTGGGGGTTATTTACTAAAACTGGAGAGTGAAAAATCTGGTGCAGCTCTGCATAGAAACCAATCAGCTTCCAGGATTCATTGCCAAACCCTAACTGAACAAGTTGAAGTTAGAAGCTGATTGGCTGCCACGCACAGCTGCACCAGATTCTGAGTTTTAGCACTAGTTTTAGTAAATCTCCCCTGACTGCGATTGTCATGGTATACCATCTACATGGTAAAGGAAAGGGCTTCCGTGTGGAAGCTGGCAGGTCCAGCTGATACTTGTAGTCCTTTCACATCAGGATGGCTCACACAGCCTGCTACAAATACTCCTTCTATCACCATCTTTCTATGTGGAACTATCGCTTGGCAAACAGACAGAATGACTTTTCACCATGGATGAGGCAAATCCAACCATATGCTGTTGATGATTGCAGAGTATAGAAGCCAACAAACGTGTGATAAGTGATTAGCTGCTGCAACAGCTGCTGGCGAGGGTTGCAGAGATCTTGGAAATCTCCCATCAGAAGGCAATTATTTTGAAGGAACAGGCAGTCGGTTATTATGGAAAAAGCAGCCTGATATGGCTTTTGTCGAATGAGAAGACAGATCTGAAAATGTATGAGTAGCCTACATGTGAAATCAGAGGACAGACAAGGAGGTAATCTTCAACCAGGGGCGGACTGACCATTCGAGCACTCGGGTACTGCCTGGGGGCCCAGGGTCAGTAGGGGGCTCCATGAAATGCCCCTGGTACCTTTTTCATAGGCTTTTTTGAGTGCGGGCAAGGACACAGGGGCCCCATGATCCCCTATTGCCCGGGGGTCCCATGAGTTGTCAGTCCGCCCCTGTCTTCAACTATTGGCAAATATCTTTTGGAACAGTTTGGGGAATAAATATGCATCTTTGGGTCATCCAAATTTGTATATTTATGAAACAAATGCTTTTCATCTATGTAGATAATATGCATACCACCAATATAAGTTCCAGGGTGTGTTTTCCTGTAATTAATCCCCCCATTAATTACAAGAAAACACACCCTGGAACTTATGTTGGGGGCAGGGGCGGACTGACCATTTGGAAACTCGGGCACTGCCTGAGGGCCCGGGGTCAGTAGGGGGCCCCATGACATGCCCCTGGTACCTTTTTCATAGGCTTTTTTGAGTTTGGGCAAGGACACAGGGGCCCCATGATCCCCTATTGCCTGGGGGCCCCATGAGTTGTCAGTCCGCCCCTGATTAGGGGTATGCATATTATCTACATAGATGAAAAACATTAATCAAAGGGTAATGTATAGTGGCATTGTTGTCAGGATTATTAAATAAAAAAATCTTTGTTTTTTAGTGAAAAAAGAAATGTTGCATATTACCCACTTGCCTAAGGGGCACTTATACCCCCTTCCTGCCCAGGCCAGTTTTCAACTTTCAGCACTGTTGCATGACCATGCAATTAGCATTCAAAGTACAACACTGTACCGATATGAAATTGTTATCATTTGTTTTTACACAAATAGAGCTTTCTTTTGGTGGCATTTAATCTCCACTGGGTGTTTTATTTATTGCACTATAAACAAAAAAAGAGCAAAAATTTTGAAAAAAAAAAGGTTTTTTTTTTGTATCTATTATAAAATGTAGCAAACAGGTAATTTTTCTCTTTCACTGATGTGCATTGATGAGGCTGCACTGATAGGCAGCACTGATAGGCAGCACTGAAAAATCTGTATGTAAATGGATAGAAATCTGGCTAAAAGATCGTATTCAGAGAGTAGTGGTTAATGATTCATACTCTGAATGGTCTAGGGGTGTCAATGGTGTACCCCAAGGTTCAGTGTTGGGACTCTTACTTTTTTTAATATATTTATAAACGATATAGGGTCTGAGATTAAAAATCCCATTTCAGTCTTTGCAGATGACACCAAGCTGTGCAGTGGAATAACGTCCTTATAGGATGTCTCCAATTTATAAGCCGACCTCAATGCACTGTTTAATTGGCCAACTATGTGGCAAATGAGGTTTAATGTTGATAAATGTACAGTGGCTAAGTGGTTAGCACTTCCGCCTGGCAGTACTAGGGTCGCCGGTTCAAATCCCAACCATGGCACTACCTGCCTGGAGTTTGTTGTTCTCCTGTGCTTGCGTGGGTTTCCTCCGGGTACTCCGGTTTCCTCCCACACTCCAAAGACATGCTGGTAAGTTAATTGGCTCCTGTCTAAATTGGCCCTAGTATGTGTATGCATGAATGTGTGTTAGGGACCTTAGATTGTACACCCCTTGAGGGTTAGGGACTGATGTGAATGTACAATATATATATAAAGTGCTGCGTAAATTGACAGCGCTATATAAGTACCTGAAATAATTAAATAAATGTAAAGTTCTGTACTTGGGGGCTAAGAATATGCATGCATCATACATACTAGGGGGGTACAACTGGGGGAATCAATGGTGGAGAAGGATCTGGGAGTTCTGGTAGATCACAAGCTTAACTGCCTCCCACCCACCATATAGTACAATGACGGGTGCAAGGTGGTTCTCTCGTTCTGGGAGGACGTCATATGACGTCCTCCCATTCTAACTGCGCAGTGATTGGTGGTGTGCTGTGTCCCCGGATACAGCGGATCACCAATCAATGGACAGAACTGAAGAAGTAAGCTCAGTCATGTGATCAGCTGTGTCCAATCACAGCTGATCACATGTAAACAGGGAAATGCCAGTTATCGGCATTTCTCTCCTCTCAAGCTGTCACGCTGACAGCTCATGAGAAGAGCCGGTAATTGGCATTCCTTGGAGGGGACATGTACACTGCATCATCAGTGCCTTGATGATCAGTGTGGCCGCTGCCAGCTCTCAGTGCTCATCCATGCCACATTTCAGTGCCTATCTGATGCCTGTTAATGCCTATCAGTTCACTGCAGCCTCATTAGCGCACATCAGTGAAGGAGAAAAATTACTTATTTACATAACAAAAACTTGTTTTTTTTTTTCAAAAATTTCAGTGGTTTTTGGTTTGTTTAAGAAAAAATAAAAAACCCAGAGGTGATTAAATACCACCAAAATAAAGCTCTATCTGTCACAAAAAAATTAGGGGGTCATATGGGTACAGTGTTGCATGACCGCGCAATTGTCATTCAAAGTGTGACAGTGCTGAAAACTGGAAATGGCCTGGGCTGGGAAGGGGGTATCTGCCCTGTAGGCTAGTGGTTATTAATAATGGCATGCAATGCCAAGCTGCCTCCCATTCTAATAGTAAAACTTGTATTAAAAGAGGTATAGACTCCAGAGAGAGAGATATCATATTTACCCCGGTGCAAGGTGGACCTTCTCAGTTCGTTTTGGGCACCAATTCACAAAAAGTGGGGAACTGGAGAAATACAGAGAACGGCAACCAAAGTGAGGCAAGCTCAGCTATGAGGAAAGATTAGAGGAATTGAATGTATTCTCTCTTGAGAAGAGGAGATTAAGGGGGGATATGATCAACATGTATAAATACATCAGTGGTTCATATAGTGAACTCGGTGTAGAGCTATTCACCCTGAGGTCATCACAGAGGACAAGGGGGCACTCTTTACGTCTGGAGGAAAAGAGATTTATTCTCCAAACACGGAAAGGTTTCTTCACAATGAGAGCTGTGAAAATGTGGAATAGACTCCCTCAAGAGTTGGTTCTGGTCAGCTCAGTGGATTGCTTCAAAAAAGTCCTGGATTATTTCCTTAGATACACAGAATATAACTGGATACTAACATTTCCAGGTAAAGTTGATCCAGGGATTATCTGATTGCCTCTCAGGGGATCAGGAAGGATTTTTTTTCCCCAGCAGAAGCAAATTGGATTGTGCTTTGATGGGTTTTTTTTTTTTGCCTTCCTCTGGATCGACTGTGGGTATAGGATTATAACTTTCTTTTCTATGGTTGAACTGGATGGACTTTTGTCTATTTTCAGCCAGACTATGTAACTATGTAACTGATGGGCACTGATGAGGTGGCACAGATAGGCAGTACTGATGGGCACTGATAGATGGCACTGATGAGCTGGCACTGATGATGCTGCACTGATAGGCGGCACTGATGGGCAGCACTGATGGGCACTGATAGGCAGCACTGATGGGCACTGATGAGGTGGCAAGGATAGGCAGCACTGATAGGAGGCACTGATAGGTGGCACTGATGAGCTGGTACTGATGATGCTGCATTGATAGGTGGCACTGATGGGCAGCACTAATAGGTGGCACTGCTGGGCACAGGTGGGTGGCACTGTTAAGTGGCACAGGTGGGTGGCACCTGCCCTGATGATCAGTGCCGATCCCTTTGCTGACAATTGCCAGTTCTCTGCAGTACTTTCCTCACGCTGTGACAGCGTGAGGTAAAAGGCCGCTGTGACTGGCCGATTATTGTACCCCGTGATCAGCTGTGTCCATAGGACATCATCCCAGGATTACACAACCGCACTGTAGACGTCCTTCGGCTATAGCGTGGTTGGGAACCGGTTAAAGTGTTACTAAACCCAGGACCCTGCATTCACTATTTCTGGTCTCCCACAGTACACAGAACATGGAAGTGCAATTATTTTAGTAAATATAAACTGCTAAATACCTTTTCTCATCAGCAATTAGAGCAGTCTTGTGACTTCTATCAGTGTTCAACAGAGCACTGGTTAAAGCTTGTAGTAGTTTTCATTCTGCTCTAGGAGGATGCAGAACCCCTGACCTCTGTATGGACAGCGTTGATTGGCCCTGTGCTGATCACATGCAATCTCCCAAGAAAAAAAAAAAAAACACCTCTCTTGCAGTACACACCAAACTGAGCATGTGCAGAGTGATTCCATACTATTTCTTATCAGGAGATAAGAGGGGGATACTAGGAAAAGGGAAGGATCAGAGAAGAGTTTTCCTTCTGCTCTAGGAGGATGCAAAGCCCCTGACCTCTATCTGGACAGCACTAATTGGGTTCCACAAAGAGTATAACAAGCGTGCTTTACTGCATATACAGACTGATTTTACCGTTGTGGGCTTAGTAACACTTTAATATCAAATGTATTCCTTTTTTTAACCAGTAGGTGGAGCTCTATGCTCCTTTTTGCATGCTTTAAAGTGGAATTACGGTCTAACTGTACTTAAAAATGTCCCATCCCTCCTGCTGCTACCTATGCTGCCAAACCTGTGTAAAAAAGATGTGTATACTTCCCTATTTTTAGTCTGTTTCGGTATGGCCATGTGATCCCCTGTGTCAGTGAGCAGTGATGGCTGCGGGGGAGAAGAGGGAGTATGCAACAATGGCTGGGAAATCAGAGCGGTGATGTCATTAATAAGCTCCTCTGGTCCAGTTGTTTGCGCTCCTTCCTCTCCCCTGCAACAGTCGCTCACTGACATGGGAAGATGAAGCTGCAGATCACAAAACCAAGCCAGAGTTCACTATAAATAGGGAAGTATGCAGATCATTTATACACAGAGAACATTTGTAAGCAAAGTTAGTGTTAGGTCAGAATTCCACGTACTGCGCTATAGCTGAATGACGACTACAGCGCGGCTGTCCAGTTCTGAGAGGGCATCATATGACGTCCTCCCAGAACGCGTGCTCCTACGCACCCCCAGCAGCGCACACCCCTCAATCTCTGTGATTGCTGTGTTCTATGGACACAACTGATCACATGATGAGGTAAAAGGCCAATCACAGCGGCCTTTTACCACGTGATCAGCTGTCTCCAATGACACAGCAGATCACCGAGTACATACAGTTGCCAGTTATCGGCAGCACTTTCTTCACGCTGTCACAGTGTGAGGAAAGTACTGCCGATAACTGACAGCTGTCACAGAGCAGATCGGCACTGATCATCAGGGCATTGATGATCAGTGCCATGCAGTGCCACCCAGCAGTGCAACCCAACAGTGCCCAGCAGTGCCACCCATCAGTGCCCAGCAGTGCCACCCATCAGAACTGCCCAGCAGTTGTGCCCATCAGTACCCAGCAGTGCCGACCATCAGTGCTCATCAGAGCCGCCAGTCAGTCAGTGCTGTCAGTCACTGCTGCCAGTCAGTGTCTCCCATCAGTGCTGCCTATCAGTGCCCATCATTGCTGCGTATCAGTGCAGCATCATCAGTGCCTCATCATCAATGCCCACGAGTGCTGTCTCATTAGTGCCACCTCATCAGTGCCCATCAGTGCTGCCTATCCGTGCCCATCAGTGCTGCCTATCAGTGCAACCTCATCAACGCACATCAGTGAAGG